CTTGATCCTTCCGTTTGTGAGTGTTTATGCCGAGCTTCGGTGTGACTTCGTACTTTGTTATTGAGGTTGGGGATGGATAGGCTCTCTCAGACGTATATTTGTTTTGTTATAATATTTTTAGTTTGTTTCATTTTTCGAATTATTTTGTACTTAAGAGGAAATACCTATTGTAACATATAAGATTTGTACATTATTATATATGGTATCTTTAATTAGTGTAAAGTTGTATTATACTCATTTTTATTTCTATCATCTATATAAAATTTATGATTACTTCTCTTTAAAAAAAAAAAGAAAAGAAAGAGAAAAAAGAAGAAGAAGAAGAAGAAGGTGGTTTTTATGATAAAGGTTGATCAAGTAGAGTTGAATTCCTTGATGTATGTTAGCCAAGGGTATTTGTAACGTAGATTGAATTAAATTTTAATATTTTTAAAATTAAACTAATTTAATTGATTAGTAAAATTTTTAAATTAATTCAACATACTATTATATTATAATTAAGCCAATTCAATTTATATCGGATTGGTGTGATTTGATCAAATTGATTGATTTTTAATACCATTTTAAATATATTTAATTTGATAAAAAAAAATTAGAGTATTAGACTATAGAAGATGCCTTTAAGAGGTGGTTTAATTAGTTAAGAGTCTAAGAGTCAAGATTTTATATTTGAACTTTAAGTTGGGTGTGAATGCGTTTGGGAAAGGAAAATGCTTTGTGCACCCTCCGGTTTGATACCCGGGGGTGCACGCCCTACATAACCAAATAATTTTAACAATAAAATTACAAATTTAATCTTAAAAGTCATCTTTCTCTCAATACCCCTTTTTTTTTCTTGTCTCTACATCTTCCTCTGTCAAATTCTTCTCCTTCCCCGAAACCAGATCTGTTTCACCCTTTTATTTATTTATTTATTTTTGGGGCTGCTTGGCGATGATGGTGGTGATGGTGATGGACAACAGAGGGATTTATGGTTCTGCCACTCTCCTTCTATTTCAGTGGTGATTGAGGATGGTGATGGAGGTGGAGGTTGTGATGATGATGAGATGCAAGGAGATGGTCTAAATCTACAGAAGGGAGAAGAATCGAGAGAGAAGAAGAGGTGGGTTCTCGGAGAACTTAGACCGAGAGAGAGAGAGAGAAAAAAAAAGTGGGGTTTGGGTTCTCCAGGAGAACCTAGATCGGGTTCTCTAAGAAGAACCCGGACTGGGCTTTTCTGGAGAACCCAAACTTGGGTTCTCTTGAGAACCCGGAAGAAAAAAAAAGAAGGTAAATTTATAATTTTACTTTTAAAATTATTTGGTTATGTAGAGTGTGCATCCCCAGATGTTGAACCGGGGTGTGCATGAATCATGGTCCTTTGGGAAAAGAGGAGAACAACCTTTTTTTTATATAATTTATCATTAGATGTATTGGAAAAAAATAAACTATAAAGAATATAATTATAGAGCATAATACTATCATAAATAATAAAATAATAATATCAACAGCTTGATTGAAGTAAAAATTAAAAAGACAACAATAATAAATAATAAGAACAAAGAAGATAACCAAGATATATGCAAGTCGAGGCAATTACTGCTTAAGAAAATAAAAAGTCCTATAGTATAGTTTTTATTTGTATAAGAAATGATTTACGATTAAATTATTTTTTAATTAAATTGATTAAATTATATTGTACAATTATAGTATAAAAATAAAATAATGATAATCAATACAACTAATATTATATTACAACCATAAAAAAATATTATATTAAAGAAATAAGAAAAGTAAAACAAGAAAGGAAAAATTAAAATATAATTTGTATACACTAATAAAAATTTTAAATATATATTATATTTTTATTTTACAAAAAAATTCTGAAAATATATTTTAAAAAATAAAAATAAAAATAGTATATTATTTAATTAAATTATTTTATAATTAATATTTGTTTAAAGATAAAACTACAAACTAAATTATTTATTAATTTAAAAATTTTATAATTCAAATCAACCTTAATTTAACGCTAGGTTAAATTACATTTTAATCAAATGAAGTCAATTTCAATCAAATTAATCAATTTAAATCAAATATGAACAGTCCTCATGTTAGGTGTATGGAGTTACGTCTATAATTTGTGGATTTGTATATACGGAATAGGGAAGAGTGATGTTGAGGGTGGGAGGATTGAAAGTCTCCCATTTCAATGTGTGTGCAACATCAGGAACGTACTGGATGATTGTGCAATAATAGAACAAAGAGGGGGAAGCAGAATCGTTAAGACTCTTTGGGCTGGTAGGAATGGTGTAAGTTGTGACAGCACAACACTATAATGTGATGAAATTTGTACTCCATCGAAATGCAAAATGCACTGCATCTTTAAGAAGTTTGGGCCAATTCAAAGAACTTCAATGATGAAGTTGACGACCATCAATCATGTAATGGTTTCAATGCAAGATTGATTAAAAAAACAGGGGAGAATGGATGTTTCATGCATTATAGAAACTGATGTTAAGAAAGGAGTAGTAGCTATCAAACAAACTGATATGTATACCCAACTTCATGGGATAAAAAAAGAATTGAAACATTTTTATTTCCACGGTTAAAACAGTTACAAAACACACAAAACGCATTGCTTAAACAGATTTTGACCATATCAGAGTAAAATAAGATTTTATCAATCTTCAATACCTCTTGGTACTCTGGTAGTAGGGCTTTTTATCTGCTTGTATAAGAATAATACTAATGTTCTACACATTCTCCTGCATTGTTGCAGTGAACCAGAAAAAAATGGATCAGTTTTATGAGTTTAGCATGAATTCATTGAGATTACCTATTTTGCAGACAGCTTTTAGAGTACAAACATAACTTGTACCCATTTTGGAGACAGCTTTTAGAGTACAAATAAAACTTGCTTGAGATCAGCAAAGTATTGAGTGTTAACGTTCGTACCAAAGAGATGCTTATCTATCACTTGTGTAGCTCCCTTTGTCTCGTAGCTCGATTGCATGAACCTGAGATTGTATGCCAAATTTAAAGACTGGGTCCTATTGCATATTGGCACAGCACATCCTAAATACACGAGATACTGGTATAAAAGATACTGAATTTTGTGATAAATTAAATTCTAGAAAATTTCCAAAGTAATCAACAAATTTGGGGAGGGTAGTAACACATTTCAGACGGTTCTAAAAATAAACTAATCATGCAGTACTTGGTATAAAGAAATCAGGCTTGCAAAACTATGTACAGTAATGATACCATTATCTTCTATCAAAACAACAATGGAAAAGAACATTTCTCATTGGTGTATTGCTGCTGCCTTCCCATTGATATGCATTTCAGAAAGTTAAATCACAATCCAACTAGGAATCAAATAACATCCTCCCTCAAAAGTCTGATGGAAATTAGAGTGACAAAGTAATCATAACGAGGAGAGAAAAAAAAAAAACCTAAAGCAAACGATGATACAGGGAAGGCTTTGACATAATAATCTGCTTCAAGAAAGCTTGAACGTTGCATTGAAATACATGTCATCCTGAAAATGGAGGGAAATGGATCATCCATACAAACAATTTCTTACATCAAGAAAGATTATACTGAGAATGTTGAAACTCTTGTGTTTTTGTATGGAAGTTGCGAGTATTCTTCCTCATTGTCAATAAGCATGAAATCACTGCGCTTGTAAATTTCTGTCTCAAGCTCTGTCATTTTCTTTGCGTTCTTAGATCATCCAATTACAAAACCTAAAAGACACTGCTGGGCCAGCCTCCATTTTCATGGGCCCATCATAATCTAATAATCATGGTTCATGGGATAAAAAGATACCACTCGGATCATTGTGATAAAAAGCCAGTTTATGGGTTCTTTATAGGCCCTTTCATTTTTTATATGGGCCTTAATCTTGAAGAGAAAGAAGAATTATATGTCAGAAGCTCTTTCGAGTCTTCTGCGTTTCTTCCTCTCTAGTCTGTGCGGTCTGGTTCTGGATATTTCCACGAAACAAGTTGCTTTGCTTTTTGACTTTGACTATTCACTTTGGTTGTCTTCTTGATGTACGGGGGACTTTGTTAGGTGATGAATTTGTCTCTTTTAGTTGTTTTGAAATGAAAGGAAAGTAGGAAAGTTGGTCCTCACGTCCTGAATTAGTGGTCAAAACCTTTAATTTAGTGAGATTGAAACCCTAAAAATCCTATTCCTATTTTCTCAAATTGCCCTGTTAAAAAAAAAAAGAAGAAAAGAATATTTAATTTTTATTTTGTTCATGAAGATTAAATTGTGAATTTTTAAAATTATTATGTCTCAAATATCCTGTGCTTCTTGAAATCTGTGACGATTAACGAAGTTCTATTTTTGTTAAGATATTTTATTGTGACATAGTGAAAAAGGCCAGTTTATGGGTAAAGGCCCTTTCATTTGTTAGATAGGCCTTAATCTTGAAGAGACGGAAGAATTCTTAATCAGAAGCTCATTCAAGTTTTCTGCGGTTTTTCCTCAACAGAAATTTCTTTTAAAAAGCAGGACGAATTGCATTTTTCCTGTACTGTCTGGCTCCCGATATTTCCACGAAATAAGTTGCTTTTCTTTTTATACTTTTTGACTTTGACTATATACTTTGGTTGTCCTCCTGATGTTCGGCAGCCTTTATTAGGTGATTAATTTATCTAGTTTAGTTGTTTTAAAAGGAAAAGAAGATTTAGTTTTTGTTTTGTTGATGAAGATTATGTTGTGAACTTTAAAAATTATTATGTCTCAAATTGTCCAGTATTTTTTGAAATCTTTGATGATTAATGAAGTTTTATTGATTGGTAAGATATTTTATTGTGTATTGAAATTTAGGAATTAAAGATTTTAAAAATAATAGAAGTATATATCAATCTTAACACTTAAAAAAGTAAAATTAAAATTAAAAATTAAAATTATTTTATTTTATTTAATTAAAATTTAATTTTAAATTTAAAAATTAATTAAAATTTTTAATTTTAAATTGAGATTTTATTTTTTCAGCATAAATTGAGATTTTAATTTTTTTAAATTAAAACTAATACATATTAATATCTTAAGGAATATTATAAGTATAAAAAATAATTAATGGAAATATAAGGAAAAATGAAAAACTGGTAATTAGTATGGAGTCTGAGATAATAACTTCTTCCAGGTAGGAACTAAACATTTCTGGGAAAATTCGGACCGTTTTTCTACAAACTGCTTTTTAGAAAAACCGCGTTGTAAAACGCGTACAGCGCGGTTTTTCGAGCCATATACATATGGTAATCGATCCCCGAGTTAACCAATAAAAATGGTTCTTTTATCCAACGCAGGAGTTCCGACTTATGTTCCAAATCGGAAAAGGAAATCTCGATTGATCGTCGGTCTGAAGTGGGACGCAGAAACTGGAGCGCCACTAGCTACTCTCTTCGCTCAGGTTGCTCTGTTTACCGCATCGTTGTGCCTAAAGAAAACGAGATTATGTTCAGAATACGACCACAGTGGAATAAAAACGGCGATCTTGTACCATATCTGCGCCGTCCTGCTATGTTATGCGAATCGGTGGAATCGGCTGGAATTCTTCCGTCGAAGTCGCGGCATTAAGGTAAATTCAGTAGCAAACCTCATATGCTTGATTCTTGGGATTCTTCTTGAGAAGTTTTATGAGAAATCATTGGCTAGCCTCTGTTTTTTCCTGATCATGGAAATCTTGTTCTTGATTTTGGTGGTGATTATACAACCGAAGACCGACCTTGGGTTCTTTGGTTTTCTAGTCGGAGCCACTGTATCAGTTGCTTACAACTTCTTCCAACTCAAGCTCGGAACCTGGATAGTGGTTGCCATCTGCTCTCTACTAGTGGCTTGCAAGTTTTGTTTAGATAAGAACTGGTTGGATCTAGGGGAGTTAGAGAGACCGGAGCTAGAATCTTACCGAGATTATTTACTGCCCATAGATCTAACTGAAAGGATCGCCAGTAGACTCAGCAATCTGACTCCGGCTCCTGTAATTGAAACCATTGACGCACTAATAGTGGCGGGTTTCTACTTTTTTTGGGCGTCTGCCTTTTTTAGCACCAATTGTCTAAATTCGGAATATTGCACCTCATGTTCTGCCATGGAAAAGCTCAAATGCGGGGCCATTTACGTTTTGTGGATGTCCCCTGCTCACATCCATCGTCTATATTCTCTGTTCCAAGTTGAATTTTGGCTACTTTGGCTTTGGCCAACGGCGAGTGCGAATGCGAAAGCAGTGGTACAGGCAATGGCACAGGTAACGTTATATCATCTAGCTTTACAGCCTTCCTCGTAAATTAACTATCATATTTTTTTAATTAAAAATTTATTACTTTAAATTACTTGTTTTTTATTTTTAGGATAAACTATTATTTTTGTCTTATTTTAATTTTATTGTTATTTTTTTATTTTAATTATTGTAGTATCATAAAAAAATATTTATTTATGTTTTATTTTTACTTTAAGTATAGTAGAGCTAAACATATACTAAATTGTTTTAAATCTTTAATTTGGAAAGAAAACTTAAAAAACAAGTATCATTTTAAGAAACAGAGTATTATATTCGACATAATTATGGTTTAGTTTAGGATCGGAATCTTAGCCAGCAATTGTAATTATTGCTTTCTTTAGTTTTTAACATTTTAAAATTATATAAAATATATTTAATATATTTAATATTTATTTTGATTAATATTTTATATATTTTTTAGAATAATAAAAATAGATAAAAACTAAAAGTTAAAGTATTTAAAAATATTATTAAATAAAATCTTTAAATATAATATTATAAAAAACGATAAACTTATAATTATAATGTGTTATCAATTAAATGTGAGTATTAATTTATATTATATTATAAATTTATAATATTATATATTATGTTATTTTTATATGAGATTAATACTTAATTCTTCCCTACCAAAAGGAACAAGTTTTCTTAATAAATAAGTTAGAATTAATTAGAGAATATGATAAGAAATTATATTAATTCAATGTAAGTTTTTTCCTCTTTTAATTTATCTTAATTTGATCAATTTATAGCAAAATGTGGACTGTTCAAATGCGAACTAACCATTGCAAGAAACAGGGTACAAGCCTAAAAGGCAAAGGCCCTGCCGCCTACACATGCTGCATGGCTCTTATTTATTAGTTAAAATTGTAAAAATTTACGTAAAAAGTATTTAAATTTATGTTATTTTAATAAAATATTATAAAAAAAATTTATTTTTATTTTAAATAATTAAAATGCTTAAGTCCTTCTTAATAAATATTTCTTAAAATAATATAATTTTAAAATATATTTTTACATAAGTTTTTATAACAACTACTAATATACATTTTTTCTTTTTATATTATATAACCATCGTCTAAATGATTGGAATATATAATGTAAGAGTAGTTTGTTGCACTTCTAATATTGTGACATGTACTCAAAATATTTGCAGGTAGAAAATATTCAGAATCAGATCAAAAGACTAGAGGAAGCACGCCGCCCAAAAAATGCGTCTGTAGTAGCCGAAGCGATGGGGAAAGCAAGGATAGGGTTGAAGAGGAATCATGACATATTGACGCTGTACCGCCATGAGTGGGAGCAGGAATTGCCAGAATGGGTGAGAAAGAAAATAGAGAAAAAGTTTCTTTTTGCTGTAAACATAGAGTATGAGTGCAAATTGTCCGTTCCTTTTAGCTTTTTTAAACCCTCGTATTCAGAGCTTTTAGTTCTTAACCTATAAGAATGGGAGAAAATAATTTTTATTTGTAATTTTTACCATACGTTCATCGCTTTTATCACTTTTTTTATTATATTTCTGTTAATTTTGTCTTATTTATATAATAAATAAAAAATGGGAAAGCTTCTCCAAGAAGCTTGATACTTTTTTTTTTGGGAATT